TAAAACCAGCTTATTTGGGCTTTAGGCTTTCTAATGTCATGTCTTGTTGTTTCCTTGCTTCGGGATCTCCTTTCCTTGATAATAGACGTCCATTTCATTGCTTTTGTGGATCCGGACGAAATTGGGTGTCTACATCCACCAATACATTTCATACCCTTGAAAGCTAAGGGTTGCAAGGGGCACCTTTCTTTCTTCACTCACATGGTGGCAAGTGAAAAGTTGTTACACCTTCATCTCCCAATTAAGGTAGGCTTCCGCATCATCCTTTCCATGGAATTGGAGGAGATCCACCTTAATAACCAAGCCTCTTCAAGTAAAAATTACTAAATCCCTTGTACCTTGTCTTACACAAAACAATTTTCACAAAGATTTTCAAAAAGAAAATAACAAACAAGTTAACTAAGTGTTCTATCTAAAATGTTCCCTAGGTTTTACTTTGGCCTTTGGAACCTTGGTAACACCACTATACAACATGTAATATAAAGATCAAGATTAAAAGACAAGAAACTTAAACTAGGCGTGCAAAGCAATAAACTTATGTGGGATCTTAAGAAGCACTAGAAGCTTTCAACGACCACTCCCACTATGTTCTACACAAATTACCTAAGTAAACTAGGGAGAGATGAAGATGTACCAAAGAAACCTTCAAGACACTCCCAAAGGCCTTTTTTCACAATTCAAATTAAAAGTACAAAGCAAGGAAATGAAGTGGCCCAAAGTAAATAAAAATCACCCACTAAGATTAGCCACGGATTTAGTGATGGAAAAAGTTTTTAACAGAAATTTCCGTCTCTAAATCTGTTGCTAATCCTTGTTTTTCATTTTAAAAATTTTGCAAAATCAAGTGAAGGTCCAACTCTTAAAATTCAAACTCCAGCTCCTCTCTTGTTTTTCACTCCACTCTTTTAGAAGTACTCTTGATGTTGAGCACTCATTAGGTGTCTATTTCTTCCAAAGGTCCAAGTTGCCAAAGGAAAAAGTCCTCCTAGGCCTCCACAAACATCCTAAGATCCTACCCTTGTGCTAAGGCCTTCTCAAACCTTCAAAAGAGTATAAAAAACACCACAAAGTAGCTGCTGGACAAAAAAGAAATAAAAACTAAAAATACACAATTAAGGAAAGCTAAACTTAAAAGGAATAGATGAGACAAGCCTAGAAACATTGCCAACAAATTAAGACAAACAAGAAATAAGGCTCAAGAAGAAAACAAGCATTTCAAAAGGAGTCCTATCAATGGTTCTAGAGTAGATTACAAAACACAAAATCTAAGAATAGAAAATTTAAAACCAAAATAAGTTGCTTAACTATCAATGAAACCAAGAGCAACTTGATGCAAAATTTTCACTCCTTTGGCTTTTGCTTTTGTTTCTTCTTTGCTTTTTCTTTTTGAGTTCTCTTTTTTATAATCTTTCTTCTTTTATTTTTATACTTTCAGGAGTTAAATGCCTTTTTTCAATTGATTGAAAGTCTCGGTTCTGAAGAGAAAAAAAAATAGAAGAGGATTTACAAACAAAGAGGTTCAACTTCAATTTTGAAAACTAGAACTCATCATTTTCAAACATACTTTTTCAAACTTTTCATATGCACATATTCTTTGATTTTTCACACACTTTTTTCAAACTTTAAACCTCTATTTTCCAACGTTTCCTTTTATAAAAAGTGATATAGAAATCGGAATAGAGAATAACCTAGGAAGCAAATTGTTTTTATGACATTTTTTGACAAACTATTCAAGGAAACATAATAGAAACCTAACTCTAAGAATTTGCTACGTCTAATAGCTGTCATAACCAAAAAATTTCCGATCCTGCAACCTATGGTTTAGACATCCTTTTAAAAATCTCATTAATTAAGGAATGCTCGGATACCAGACTAATCCTTGATTAATGATTTTGAAAATAGGTTCAGGGAATCGCCACCAATGTTTTATTCAAAACATTGGGAAAAGAAAAGCTTTTAAAGATCCAATAATGACCTTGAAAACTAGAATTGGGTTCGGGGGTCGATTACGTGTAGGGAAGGTATAAGCACCCTTGCAACGCCTTTAATCGGTACCCTTGTGATGAAGTTAGCATAGTAAGAATTAATAATTTAAATATTTAATCTCCTTTATGAATTTTTATTTACATGCTTGAAATTTAAATTACACGGTTAATCCTAAAACGTCTACATGATTGCTTTTATTATAACAATATTTGAAATAAGGGAATAGAGAAAAGAAGAGAGAATCGACTAAAATACCTCTTAAACGAGCTCTATTGAATCTTCAAATATGGAGATCTTTAGGTGCTTTGTGACAACCTTTCACACTACAATATGTCTCACAAATCTCAAGAAATACAATAGGAAGGAGAGAGAGAGAATTTTCGAGCTCAAAGGAGTCTTATAGGAAATTTCCCGGCCAAGAGAACAGTGCCTAAGTCTACTATTTATAGACGTCAGAAGTTGCCAAAACGTCCTGTTCCGGATTTGGAACGGACCGTTCTGGGCTAGTCTTTTGAGAGTAAATTTTGAACCTAGAACGGCCCGTTCTGGAAGCAGAATAGCCAATTTTGGAAGCAGAACGGCCCGTTCTGGATTGGAATTTAACTCATGACAAACTGTGTTGGAACGACCCATTCCAAACTAGGGTTTTAGGCCTTTTTAGGAACTTGGAACGACCCATTCCAAATCGGGAACGACCCGTTTCGATTTTGGAACGACCGGTTCTAGGTTACTAAAAACAGATTGTTTGGGCTTTAGGCCTTCTGATGTCATGTCCTGTTATTTCTATACTTGGGAGCTCTTTTTCTTTGAAAATGAAAGTTTATATCCTTGTTTGTATGCCCCCGGACGAAATTGGGTGTCTACAATAGCAAATATGAACTCATAAATGAAATTCAAAAGCACTCAAAGCACATATATGTTCAACCAAATCAAAATTGCAATTGAATCACAATAGAAATTAAAACATGTTAAAAGTATAGGTCAAAACAAGCTAGTCTAGGAATTTATGACATGTAAAAGACTACACATGACTCTAGACAAAACTTTAAGATTCAAAAATCAAAAACACATGCTACAAAATGTTCATATTCGAATTAGGCAATAAGAAGAAGACTCAAACAAACTTAAAAAGCACATAGTACAAAATCCTAAAGGCACAACTCAGATTAGTTCAAGAAACTAGTGCAAAATGATTTTATGAACCAATTTTTTTCAAGACAAAATAGATTCATCAACTATAAAAAAAAAACTTGAATCTATGCAAAGAAACAACTCAAGACAAGTAAGGAATAAGATGTGACAACATAGAATAAGGAAGAAGACACTTGAACCTCAAAGAGCAGCCATGGCTCTCATACCAAAAATGATGGAACAAGCAAGTAGAACTGATGGATGATCTTCTCCTTGCTTCCTCCAAATCCATGCATCTTCCTTTGAGGTTCCAATGGAGGATTGTGACTCCAAGAATGAAGAAGAAGGTGTTGGAAAGGGAGTAATGTTTCCTTTCAATAAACTAGTTTTTATGGAAGGGGGATGAGTTTTGACTCCTAAAACTCTCTATCTTTTTTTAATGCATGAGTCCATATTGGTATCTTGATCATGTTGTTCTAATATTGTTTGGTCCATGTTCTATTCATCATTTCAAGTTCATGTTATTATAAGATTGCTCATATAAGTTGATGTTATAAATAAACTCATCACTTTATTTTGTTGCTATAAAATATTCTAAAATTTTAAATCATGATCAAATAATCTAAAATTATTTATCATGCTTGTGATCAATATTCTTAAGAGCATGATGAACTAAAGATAAAAACAAAGGTTTGATTTAGGATGAACTAAAAGAAAAAGGCAAGAACATAATACCAAAATCTTTTTTAATTTAGCAAAGTTTTATATGATTTGGTTTATAGTGTTTGAGGTATGATATTCTTTACTCATTATTTGTTGATCTTTTAAGAAAATATAGTTTTCATTAATTACTTTTGTAATAATTATTTAACAAATGATTTTGAAATTGAGAGTGTCACAATGTATGTTAGTATTTCTTAGTAGTATTTTCTAACATATACTTATTTTTTTTTAGTTGAAATACATTAGCATGCTATATTACGAGTGTATTTTTAAAAAAATTTAGTTATAATTTGCTAAACATTCTTCAATTAAAAAATAAGTGTATGTTAACAAATCTCTTATAATATATATGCATTAACAAAGTTTAATTTTTATATATTATTGGTATAAATATTTTTAAACTAACTAAAGAAATTACTATAAATAACAATATACAATTGGATAAAGCATTTTTAATGAGAGTTGTTTAACAATAAAATATTGTTTTAATATGTTACATGTGATTTTGAGTTACTTAAAATTGAAAATATTTGTTAAGTAATTTTAATGTAATAAATATTTTAATAAAATTTCTTATTTTATTTTCTTAATGAGCAATTAGGGACATGTATATTTGAGTTCTAGTGTGAAAAATAGTCTCACATCATATATAATTGATAATGTTAAGTAGTACAAAAGTGAGTTTAACATCACATCATATCTCTATACCTTAAGGTATTAGATTGGTAGGTTTTTATCACTTATATATTATCCAACATGTTCAACTCTATTCAATATAAAACTCTTGTTTACACAAGTATTTAATAGTGACCTACTACAATATATTCATAAAATAGTAAATCAAGTTAATTATACAATAACCCAACTTATAAATATCTTGACTCACTTTAACAACTCTATACACTATATTCAATTATATGTAATATAAGATTCTAATTCACACATAAATTGTAACAATATATTAAAAAAAAAACAAGAGAGAGTACCCAAACAAGAGAGAGAGTACCCTACTGCAAGATCACCATAATATTTTTTAGTGATGAGAAAATTTAAGTTTGGAAAGGTTATATATGAGATGCGTGAAAGGAAAGTTAGCACACGCAAAGGCTTGGCTGTGTGAAGACGTGGCGAATGATTACTAGTGAGGTGGAACCAACTAACAATTATGAAACGGACCCCATCGCAATTTAATCAATTTTTCCACTTTCTACTTTCTTCTCTCTCCCTCTCCCCTTAGACACACAACACAAACACTCTGAAAACAAGTCCAATGAGCGATTACCACAGAGCACCGCACGAATCCTACCCTCCCCCAGGTACACACACCCTTCATCCCTCTCCTTTCAATAATTTCAATTGTTCCAATATTTTCATTTCTTGTTAACGGGATTGGCTAATTGGTTAATTAAATTAAAAACAGGGTACGGATCTCCTTACCCTCCGCCCCAACCGGGGTACCCATCGGCGCCGCCCCAGGAAGGGTACCCTCCGCCGCCTCCGCCGGGGTATGCGGGGTACCCTCCGCCGCCGCGTCCGCCGTATGACTCGTACCAGGGCTATTTCGATAACGGGTACCCGCCGCCGCCTCCTCCGCCGCATTACCACTACCAGCACGTGGAGCATTTCCATCACGATGAGCATGAGCCTGGTTGCTTTTCGTTCCTCCGAGGCTGGTAAGCTTTTTCATTTATTTATCTATTTATTTGTTTGTTTTTCTTAATATGTATGTGTTAGGAACCAAGAATAGGAAAGGAAGATTTTGTTTGCGGATATAACTTCATTTGGTCCTTGAAAAAGGTCTTTAAAAGTTCAAATTATTTTATTTAAGTTCTTGAAAGGATATGAGAGATAACTCTCTCCTCCAAAGATTTCCCCTTCACAAAGGATTTCTACCTCTAATTAACTAACTATTAACTAATTCCTCGTTAACCTTTAGTTCTAACAGTATGTGTTGGAGCCAAAGGATCAGTTATTTGTTTACAAAAGAATAAAATTTGAAGAGTAAACATTCAAATTTTTGTTCTTGAATTTGGATGGTGTTATATTAGTTCGTAAAACTAAGAAATTGTTGTTAAACACGTTTTTGAAAGTATAAATTCACAATCATATTAGTTCAAAACTCAAAAGAAAAAAAAAAGTATGACTAAATGATAATATTGATATATTTTTAGTGATCAAAATGACAATAAGTAGTTATGCTTAAGGGTTTATTTGACATTCTAAAGACTCTTTTGACAATTTCTTAGTTTCACAGAATGCTATAGTAGTATCTTCCAAATACAGGGATCAAATTGAGTGTTTATTCAAAACTTAAATGTTTTTTTAGGTGTTTTTGGTACCGCTGTTCTTCGACTAGAATTATAGTTTTATCTAACTATCATGTTCTCCAATTAGAATTATAGGTTTATCTTGCTAACTTATGATGGATTATTAAAGTGGAATTCCAGTTTTGATTAGAGAATAACATCAAAATCAATTAAGAAATTGCATCTATGTTTTGCTTAATGTAAATACCAAATCATCTGTCTGTTCTGTTGCACAATCTGTTTATGGGTCAAGTTTAATCCCAGTCACAATGTCATGCCTAAAACAATAACCAAAAACTTTGAATCTAAAATATCATAAGGTAGTTATTACTTTTCTCTAAACTAAAGTCAAACAGTTGATTAATTTAGTTGAACTTATTATTCATGAGTAGAGATTTTTCCTGGTAGTTTGGATTGTCAATTGGCTTAACTAATTTTCAACCCGGAGTATAGGCCGAGAGATGTTTCATGCCCTTAATCCTTAGTATGCAGAATTCTTCAATTAGGTTTTCTGACATATCATTAAACTAATAAAGTTATATAGAATTGTTATATTTGAGCTTAAGAATCCTTTTACATGTGCAGCTTCGCAGCACTTTGCTGCTGTTGTGTGCTAGAGGAGTGTTGCTTCTGATAATAGCATAATAAACGAGTTGTTTCTTCGGTTTGGTGCACTTGGTTATGGCTCTGTAGAAAAATGTGGTTCCAATTCTTGATAATAAGTGAGAGGTGGCAAGTCTTGGTGATTCTTGTAACTCTTTGGTATTTCCCTCTACCCGAAATCCTGGTTTGTGCATAGGTTCTGTCATGTGGTCTATGTGAATGTTTTTGAACGACACTATATTGGAAATTGTAAACCGTTTCTTAAAAAGTTATAACAGACAATGATATGGTTAAAATTATGTTATATATTACATTCTTCTATTCAAATCAATATCATTTTCTTTTATACATGGCATGAGAATTTCAAGTAATTGTGAAGGTCACTTTTATATAAATCAATATCATTTTCTTTTAGAGGACAGAGAAGGACACCGAAATTAGAGACAGAAATTAAAAGGGTGAGGAGGTAATTTTTTTGGTTGCATTTTGTAGATTCCTTTTTTCTGTAGATAAATATTATACCAGGAGACTGAAAATTATTATGCTATTCATTTGAAAAAAGAGAAAATCGGTTAATTGTCATTCATTCAATCAGCACACAATAATATGCATGATAATTTTGTTGAATTTAAAATAAATAATCTGAAAGTCGTATTAACTGTAAATTGTACTAAATAGACAATATAAAAATGCTTTACACTTTCGTGAATAGTCATAACATTACTAAATATTCTGTTTCTGCTCAAGTTAAAAAGAAGTGCCACACTGGAGCTATGCTATTGGAGTAGCATTACAATCACAGAAACAGGAATTATGCTGTTAACATAAACATCACATAAATTAGATGTTGAAGCAGGCAAAAATAAGGGTTTGAACAGATGGGATCTACCTTCTGAATTGTTTGCTTTCCTGTAATATAGAATTTCTTACGCCTTTTTTTCTCTCAATTTTAAAGCTTTAAAAAGATCCAGTAACTAGCTTTTAAAATGTTTTTCCGCATATGAAGTTATTAGTTTCTCTGTAAACTAATTTATAAAAACTCTTTTGTATTAATTTTTAAATATATTTTTTTAATTTATGTATAAGTTAATTTTAATTAATAAAATTTATTTATTTATTTATTTTTCTTATTATCTTAGGAATACTTTGGGTGAAGTTTATTCAAATAACCTTAATTTGCTAACTTAGTTTATGAATGTATATTCTTTTCCAGAAATTTTTAATAGGAAAGATACACACACTGTCGTTAATCCTCATTCTTAATTTGTATCTATCCATAATGTTTGAAATATAATGAGTACCTGTTGAAATTACTGTACTTACAGAGTTATTTTTTTCCTCCATAAGGATGTATAATTATTTTTCAACTGAGTTGTGAGGTCACCTTTCATAAAGATAAAATGTTATCTCTATACCAAGGCAAGAATTAATCTCCGGTCTTTATTTTTAATTAAGGAAGATCAGTATCGAAATGCTTGAGTTGATGACTTTGGTGTGTGTATAAAATACCTTGTGACGGATGTTTAAAATTGAACCAATCAAATGAAAACTTGTAAACCAATAAATAAATAAAAAATGAATAGAAAATCACAAATTAACGATTCAGTTTGATTTTAAAATTTTCAAAATTACATTACTTGTTTTAAATTTTGGATTAGGATTTGAAATCATTCCAAATTTAATCGAATTGCACTTATTTGTAAATATATTTCTTTAAAGTGTATGGTGCATGTATACAAAATTGACATATAACATAAAAGATGTTTTATAAAATTTTAAGTTATTAAAAGGTGTCTGTCTATCCAAATATACATTATAATATTTAAAAGGTATTTTATAAAATCATAAGTTACTAAATTAAAATTTAGATTGAAAAATTATTAATTATTTAAAATGTTCAAAAATAATTTTTTAAACTATATATATGAGAGAAAATATTTAATATGATAACTAAAATTGTATTAAAGAAATATTTTTACTAAAATAATAAGATAAGAATTTATATTAAATATATTAAGTGATCAAAATATTTTAGTATTTACATACTTTTAGACTTTAATTTTATATTTTTTGTATACAATCTTACACAAATAATATAATATTATATATTTTTAGTTAATTTTTAAATAATAAATTTTTAAAATCTAAAAAATCAAAACCAAACCAAATTGCAAAAAAAAAAATGCTTTGGTTTAGTGTAGTTTCAAATTTCATAATTAATTCAAACTAAATTACACTTAATTTTTTTTTATTCAAGTAATGTTTGAAGTTAAAACTCAACCAAACGATATCTCAAAACCCTCCTGATATTTGTCTGTACAAAGTTTGTAGATAATAGTATAATTGTCAAGTAGAAGGCAGAATCAGTGTTGACGTTTTTATCCAAGCAATTTCTTCCTCCTTTCGTTATTAAAGTTTGACGTCCATTTATTGATGTTTTGAACCGTTTTAACACGCAAAGGATAGATTTTAGATGTTACTGTTGAAGTGTCTGTTTATAAATTATACAAATATTCTTAACCTGTACTGTTTTTTCTTTTACCAAACGCCAGTAAGGAGGGACATTACTTATAGCTTCTCGGAGTAAGTTTAACGCTGTCTCAGAGACAAATAATAACTAATTACCTCTTGAAAGTGTATATTGTACTCTGTTGTAACAGAAAATCGAAAAACAAACTGTCGTTAGAATGCACTAACTATTTGTAAATCTAGAGCAAACAAAATGGGACAGGATTGTCAGAATCCATCCCATAATTTATGAGGTTTAAATTTTAAAATTTAATTTTAAATTAAATGTGATTTTTAGTCTTCTACCGTCCCGGTGTTTTACATACTAATGTAGCATCTAGGAATTTTTCCGACTAGTTTATTGCCTCTTTATTATTCGACTAATGTATTGTTTATGCATTTTGTTGACTAGTGTATTGTCTTAGTAATTTTTTAACTAATGTACTATGTAGGTATTTGGTCGACTAGTATGTATTTTTAAGTATTTTGCCGACTAGTGTATCATTTAGGTATTTATTTGATTATATGTTTATGAAGCATGTGTTGATTAAGTATCATGTCGATAAAATGTTGAATTAAGATATACTTATGTTATAACCAAGAAATATTTCATTCGACTTGATGACTCAAACAAAAATCAAGGTGTTCTATCAGTAAAATATGGATCCCAAGAATTGGACAACAATTACGATAACGATAATAATGACTAATTTATGACCCATTAAGAGCATTAATGATACGACACCATTTGGGGGATTGAGACATAAAAATAAGATATTTTGTGTTAGAGGGTTGACCCTAATATATAGATGCTTCCCCATATAGAGGAGGTAGATTGACGAGTGTTTTAGGCCGGGATAGTTGTTAAGTTTTCTGGTGATCGTCCTCCATACTAGAACATTTTGGCATCCATCGTGAATAGAAGTTCATGATGACGAGGTTACTAAGGAGCAATGCAGGAGGAACTAGCATCGATAGTCCCAATGGTGTTAACGATGGAGGCACTAGCAGGGTTGGAGATGCTGGCCTTATTGTGAATGGCCCCACTTTGCAAGAAGTCTTAGCTGCAATGGGAGTCCTACGACGTGAAAATGAATAAATGCAATAGAAACTTTGGTAAAACTAAGTTTGGAAAACCTTTAAAAGTACCAGCTTCTAAGTATCATAATTTTATAAAGACTTGGTTTTTAAGAAACACAATAATTCAACCCACCCTTTCTTGTTGGCTAACATTTACTTCAAGTTTCACGCTGAATATGGCTCAACCAGAGAGCAAGGGGTGCCCTCTGGAAATCCTACACTGAGCACAAAAATTGGCAATGAGCGTCAAACATGATAAAATTAGAATTATGTTTTGTGATCTTTATATAAGTTGCATCCTTAGATGTTAGCTTTCCAATATCGTTGGAATCACATAAAGATGAGGTTTAGAACTCAAGTTATGATAAACTTAGTGAGTGAAGGTTAGGCTATTAGATTTAGGTTAAAATGTTGTGGGTTTATATTTTTTTTAAAAAGGTAGATGATAGAATTAATTCTTAAGGTTAACATAGAAATTATAGATAATTTTCTTAGATTTATTATAAAATCAAGGTCAACTTGATATAATATATATAACTCTAGATAAGGTATTTGGACCACACAATGTCTTAGAAGATTAAATTATGGAAATGTAATTTGTGAATGGTGATGATAAATAGTTTTACCCTTTAGGTGTTTGATCTTGTGAATGATTTAAGGTACCTATATCAATGTTCAGGAAAGATAGATCATAGGAGAAAACAATTGTGAATAATTTATTAAGATAGTTGATTATTAATGATTTGAGGTGTTTTAGGCATAGCCAAGTCTAAGGCCTTAATGTGTGATATTGATAACCTTTTTAGACTAGTTAAGTTATTGATTTAAATGCTTAGAGATGTTGATCTCTTAATGACTATGGTTTAGGTATTAACATATGATTATGAATAGATAATTTTATAATGATTTTATCTTGAAATGTATTGGATAATGATGGAACAAGCATGAAAAAGTGAATGAAGGTTCTTCTCCTTGCTTCCTCCAAAGTCCACATGTCTTCCTTGAGGTTCTAATGGACTTCGAAAATGATAAAGAAAGTGTTGGTTCCGTGGCTGATTTATCTCCCAAGTGAAGGAAGAAGAAGCTCTAAGGCACATAGGTAGGATTCCTTTATGAAGGTGCTTAAGAAAGGAGAATTTACCTAAGTAAACCGTACCTTTTGAGAGAATTTTCTGAAGTGAAAATCTTATATCATCAAAAAATGATCAACTATAAGGAGATAAGGTATATTTAAGAGTGAGGAAACTAGTGAGGGAAGCTAGGTTAACTAGGGTTTAAAGTAGACCATGGTATGGTCACTTTAAACTTTAGCCGCCCAAATTTGAATTTGAAATTCAAATTAGGGTGCCTTGGCTGGTCACACACACACGAATTTTGTGCCCATTGGAATGTGATTTAGGTTGCATTCATTTGGACTTGAGGCATGTGGATGGCACCTAGGTGTGACCATTCATACATGCTTCAAATTCAAATGAAATGCAACCCTAATTGCATTCTAATGAACATTTAATCCTTTCTACCTTAACTGGTTCTAAACTACATGACCTAAAATACAAGGTCAAAAATAAACTAGACCATAATTCCTAAAATAAAAAGACAAAGAAAATGAGACCAATTTTGGTTATACAAAGCCTATGGTCAAAAATGCCCAAAATACAAGGCAAAATGAATACAAAGAAATGAACCTATTCTATGTACAAGTTTTGCTAAGCCTCAAAATGTAGTGGCCCATAAGAAGAGTAG